ATTTGATCACCTGGTTGCATAATATCATCTCTATGAAGTTTAAAATGTAGTCCTAAAATTTCATTAAAATTTCTATCTTTTAATGATACACAATATTTTGGATAACATGTAAACATAATTTTTTGATATGCTAAATTTCCTTCTATTATTCCTAAATGACTATCTTTTAAATTTATTATTCTTCCATCATGTAAAGTTATAGTTAAAGGTGAATCTATCCCTTTTCTAAATAGTGATTTAAACATTATTTATATTCCTGCTAAATAAACATATTGAATTTTTTCACTATGTTTTTTACTGGTCTTTGTTAATAGTTCTTCCACTATATTTTTTGTTAAAAGATTTAATTTATATTGCCTATAAGTTGTTCTTACATTTATCGTTTTTTCTATTTTGTGATATTCATTTATTGCTATTTTTTTCTTTTCCAAATTCTATCAAAGACTTCCCATTTTCCTATTTTTAAGTCTAACGATAATTTTTGTAATTTTCTAAACTTGTTATTATCAAAAGTGACTTTTAATCTATATCCTTCTATTCCTTTATATTCTTGTATATTTATGTTATTACTTCATATTTCTTCAATTTCTCTATTCAAATCTTGATTCATCCTCTGTTTCACTTATATATACTTCTTGATCATAGTACTCTTCAATATCTAATATTTCACTTAATTCAACTTTTATTTCTAAATATTCTTTTTGTAATATTCTAACTTTCTTTTTATTACAATTAGGGCTTATATGACCTATTTCTCCACAATTCCAACATTTACATTAGCTTTTATTTTTCTGTTGATTATATGGATTATTTTTTCTTTTGTAATATATTCTTCTAGGTTTTATATATTTTTTATTAAAATTCCTAAATTTTTTAAACTTTTTATTTTTATATTTTATTTTATTAATTCTTCTTTCAGGATTACATCCTTATTGTACAGGGATTTCCATATTTTCACAACATATTTTAGTTAATTTTCCTGATTTTTTCATTAATTGTCTTTATTGACATATATATGCAAGTCTTTTAAATAAAAATTTTATTTTTGAACCTAAAGTTCTAGGTGTTCCAGTATTATCTCTAACATATTTTTCAAATTTTATTTTAAAATATATTCCCCATTAACCTGGTAACTTTTCTTGATTTTCATTACTATAAAATTGAACATAATAGTAATTTTTAAATTCACAAGTATATTCTTTAATTTTACACATATCACATATTGTTAAATTTATTAATTTTATTCTAGCATTATCCTTTTCTCTTATTAATTCTTTTTCAGCATTTCTTATCCAATTTTCTCATAAAAATTCATCTGAAATATATTCTACTAATTTTTCGATACCTTGTTTATCTGATTTGATTATTTCTGTTTGTACATTTCTTTTTATTAATATTTTTGTACCATTGTTTATTCATTCCCACCAATTTCTAACATTTCCTTCAAAAGATGCTATTAAGAAATCTATTCTTCTTTCAGTATTTTTCCATGTATCATCTTTGTTATATAAAAAGAATAATATCATTGAATCTGCCCAAATTAATAAGGCTTTTTTAGTATCTATTTTGCAATTTAAATCTAGTTTTGTTCTTCCATAATTAATTGGTTTATCATAATTATTATTTAACTCAAACATATCTTTATATTTATTTCCTTTATGTGGTTATCTATCTCTTACTTTATCATAGAATTGTCTATATGATTTATTATATATAGGTACATATCTTTCATCTGTATCATGTAATTCATGTTTAGTGATTCCTACTGGATTAGGTCCTCCTCCAGTATTTATTAAAACTTAGTATTCACTTATATCAGTTAAGCTTAATTGATCAAAATTTTCTATTAGCAAATCTAATTCTTTACTCATCTTTTTCTTCTACTTTTAATTTTTCTAATGATTTTTCTTTAGATTTTTCTTCTTCTTCTAATACTTTTTGGTAATATATTATTTCTAAATTAATCATTTATATTTCCTGTTTCTATTACTATATTTTCTTTTTCTATATATTTCTTTCCTATCTGAGTCATCTCTTTTTCTATAAGTTTTTCTTTAATCTATTTTCTTATCTTTCTTTTTATTATTTTCTTTTAATTCTCTAATTTCAATTTTTAATATATTTATATCGTTTCTTGTTTCTTTTACTTCATTTCTCAAATTTTGTACATTATTTATTAATGATTTTAATTCTTCCATATATTCACTAATTGACATCTTAATTTTTTCTTATTTCTAACTCATAAGTTAATTTGCATTTTTTATCTTTTTTTTATCCATTATTTTTCTAAATCTTCTCTCTATTGTTTCTGGATCTACTAATTCTTCTTTTACTATAATAAAATATTTGCTCTCAAGTCTTAATTTTTCACATTTTAATTTTAATAATTGTCTATTATTTGATATTTTCATTTCTTCTGGTATTAACATTATATTTCGTATTTCTTCTTGAATTTTATTCATTTTTATGAGTAGTTTATTTAATTTTAAATGTGTATTACTACTTGTACTCATACTTTTTTTATAATATAAATTATTTTCTTCATCTTCATATATACTAATAATTTTTTCATATGTATATATATCTTTTATTTTTTTATTATTAATTTTTCTAATATTTGTTCCTTTATTTTTTTAGGAAATTCTTTAATTATTATTAAAGTCATTATTTTTAATCTATTATGAATATGTTTTAAAAATATATAACTACCTTTTTTTTCTTCTAAACATCAATAATTATCTATTTTTCTTATTTTTACTTCCATGATCCCTATGGCTCTGATACCAATAAAAGGGGGTGCTACTTAGAGCGAACAAAAATCAAATAAATAAAAAAATCAAAAAAAATCTAATAAATCAAATAAATTGGTAATCTATTAAAATTTAAGCAGTATTTAATTTTTTAAGGACTAAGATGAAAGATTTCTATTTTTTATTAACTTATTATGTAATATTATAAAAGAGGGTATTTTGGGTATCATAATTAGCTAAGGGTTATTTTGGAAAAATGACCTTCCTATTTGGGTTATTTCCATGTATTCCCCCCCTCCCCCAACACTCATTCCCAATACCCAACCTTCCATCACAGTAAACCACGACTGACGAACCAATACCAACCTCCCCCGTCAGAATCCACCAGGGGCGGAGCTACATGGAGTCCAGTGCAGGCAGATGCCTGCACTGGATTTTGAGTTTGACAGGAGGAGAAGCAGAAAAGGGAAGGAGAAAAGGGAAGAAGAAAAGTAGAAAGCATGAACTCACATATGAAGAAGCTTGAAGCACAGTCAAAATTTACAGTCGCCAGGAGGAAGAAGCTTGAACGGCAAATTCACACAGACACAGGCACCGGAGAATGGAGTGGAAGGAAGATGGAACAAGGTTTTTTTTTTTTTTTTTTTTTTTTTTTTTTTAAATTGTGGGCTTTTCTTTTGGGCCACTTTTTTAAAACTAGACCCAATCCACCTGGGTTCTGAAATTTACAGACAATTCAACCTCCCATTCCATTCGTGACATTTCAGATCCCCTTGGCTTTACTTGTACTTCTCAGTTCTCACGACCTGGTAATTGTATTTGTTTTCTGGAATTTTTTTTTTCAATATACAGAATTTTTAATTGAATTGTTGATTCGAGTTCATTACTTCATTTGTTTTTATATGTAGGATGATTTTGCTGTGAGTTAACAGGAGGAGGATTCTGAAGCAAATTAGAAATTCCAAGTAATTTTTCTTATAATTTAGTTTAATATAATTGATTATGATGCAAAATTAAATTCTTGATTTATTTATGAGTTATCAATGGAATATAAGTAGGAAAAGAAAACAATTAGATTAATCAACTATTAGTTGTATTAATGATCTCAGATCAATATTTTTTTGTTCATAAACTAATTTTGGCAAAAAATTCACTGTAGCCAATGCCTAAAATTGTGCCCGCACTGGACAAATCCTCTGGCTCCGCCCCTGGAATCCACACCACACTAAGTTACCAACATGGCCTATCATCGGCGCCATCTCCCATTCGCATCCCTACATTTTCCCATTTCAATTTGGGTAGTCTAAAGAAAACACGTACCAAAGAAAGAAACTCCAAATTCAAGACATGGGAATCTCCATACGTGAAGAAAGAATAAGCAAAAGTAGAAACAATAGCTGTGTAGATGAGTGAAAGAGAAGTGTTATACATGCTTGCACTTGAAAAAGTAAATGGAGGTAAAAGTGGTAAAAGAAAGAACAGAGTGGGCGGCTATCAACGCCATCTCCAAATCGCTGATGACAGGTCGTGTTGGCAACTTGGTGTGGCGTAGATTCCGATGGGGAAGGCCTGTATGGTTTCGCTGGCCGTGGATTACTATGATGGAAAGGTTAGGTATTGGGAGTTAGGGTTGGTGTTGGTGTTGGTGTTGGTGTGGGTGTGGGTGTAGGGGATGTTTAGAGAAGACAAGCATTTTTTTTGTTTTTGTTTTTTGTTTAATTATTTATTTATTTAATTTTCGAAAATGAAAATTCATTATTTTATCCTTCACTTAATTTGTTCTAAATCGAGTCAAACATTATTCTATATATTATAGCAAAATTACCATTTTACCCGTTCAGTTTGGTCAAAAATAGTCAAAATCCTCTTTTATTGGTCAACTGGACGGTGTCCATCCATTTGGACATCTATTGCATATTTATGAAATGTTATAGACTTTCGTTGGTACAAATTGAAAGTTAGGGTGGAGTCTATAAAAAAGTGAAAGGTTTGAGACTAGCGCTGCAATTTTCCCTAAATTTAACTTGTAGGGCATCAGCGTCTTCTACGGGAACTGAGATCTACTGCTTTGATCTTGCTGTATTCATGGCAATCTTTCTAATACATTTTGACACATCACATATTAGCACGCCGCGGTATAAGTTGGATGTCATAAAATTGATTTGACGTCTTTCCATTTGTTAAGAAAGGTTAGGTGACGTGCTTAACTCTAAAAACTCTATAATTAGAGGAAGAGAAGGGAATATCAAGTTCATAACAGCAGATTCGGTCTCTTTGCGCAGAGGCCAATCTTGAAGCCTGCAGGGCTCGCTTTCCAGCGCAGATCAGTCCAGCACTTAATTCTAATCATTCATTCCTTGCTGCTGTTTTCTGCAACACAATAACTCTCCATTTAGTACCCCCATCCCCATGGCCAGACCATATTCTATCATTACTTCAATTTTATGGAGAAGAAAAGCAATCCATATGATCTTCATTATGACTCATAAATTTACTTGAAAGCAGTAGAAGTTGACAAATTCAGGCTGCTTCTTAAAGAAGAAACGATTCAATTTGTTGAGTAATATTATTTAAAGGCCCGTTTTTTTCTTCTTTCTTCGACGGTGTGCTTAGAAACAGATTTCTGGCATTTGTAGACTCGTGGGTTGTAAGTTTTTTGAGAAAATCCAAAGCATAAAGGGAAAAGGGTTTGAAGAAAATTATAAAAGCTAGTGGAAATAACACAGTCTTGGCATTATGAAGGCTTTTAGATTCGTATTAGTGTTCCTCATGGTTGGGGCTACGGCTTTCATGTACCTTGATTACTCCCATAAAAAGGGCAACTCCTCAAATCCAGGTAAAAGATCTGTGTTTGGAAAATGGAATATACAATTTGATTTAAAATATCTGTTATACTGTTGCCTCAGTTTAGAACATAAGCACTTCGTATAAATATATAAACCTTTATCTTCTTTATCTGTAATTCCAGTCATATTTTGAATTTTGATTGGTTTCAATTGGTACTTCAGTTGTCTTAAGATAAGTGATCTTTATAAAAAAAAATTATATTCACGTTTCTACTTAAGAGTGTCTCTTTAATATTAACTGTTATTTCTGGTTATTGGATGAACTTGAACAAGATGTATGGCTTCTTTTTTACTTGTGTGTGAGTGATAGATTAATTGTTTATGGTACAGTATAGCAATATATTCTGAGAAATGATGAATTTATTCTTATATCCTTTAACTGATTATGCATTCGACACTTGAGCAAATACCTGTTCTGGATTTCATACGCTGTACAAATGATAAGAACAGCCTAGATAAGGATAGACTGCTGACTAGAGTATTCGTTCGATTTTACTGACACTGAGTGAATTTCATTTGCAACAATCTGTTTGGTGCCAACATCTTGCAAATTTATACAGACTAACAATTTCTGGTATTTATGGGGCTTAAAGTTTTATAATTTGATATTCCCTTGTTCAATTGCATCATTTGCTCAAATATCTATTCTGGAATTGGATTAGCCTGCGAAGATGGAAGTCATACTAATTATAGGGCTCTAATGGGCATGAAAATTTCATCAACATGAACTCGTAACATTTCTTTTGATGTGGTGGTAGGTATGGTTTTCACGGGCAGTTCAAATGCGATGGCATCATTAATCAAAAGCCGGAAGCTCGAGGTAAAACAAGTCTTGAACTTCAACTTAAGGGCTTTCCCACTTTTTACCATATACAAATTTGCATATTCTCAATTTCGATTAAGATAACTTCGTGAATGATTTATTTGTGAAACGAATGTGGTATGTTTTATGTGTCTCGTCCTCATTCCAATCTACAGGATAACAGCCATAGTACTCCAACACTTGATGAAGTTTATGCTGGTGACATGAATCTGGAAGATTATCGTCCTATCGATCCAGTTCCGAGTCCAAAGGCTAAAATACATCATGGAACTATCCTCCGGGGGCCGCATGGCACGATGCCATATATCCCAAGGCCTGCTCCTTCTCCCCCGTCTAGTCACCCAAAGCACGGTGGCTTCCCTTAGCCATTTCGTCTTTGAATAAAACTAAATGACCAGAGTTAAAGGCAAGTGGTGCCCCTGGATTTGGCCCTGGCTTTAAGTCTGGCCAAACAGCACGGTTCTTCTTTTTTCGCCCTTCTTGAGAGCTATACTAAAATAATGAAATATGTAATAACTAGATAGCTTGGATAGGACTTCTTATGCCATCTTTCTAATATGTCATATTTTTGTATTCTCAATGGGGCAAATGTGTGTTTACTAATCTGGAATGCAATCTTATTTGGCACCTATATAATTTATAAACACAATCGATTAAACCTATTTTGTATTCAAATATTGTACAAATGTTATCCATATATCATCCACTCATTTTTATTTATTTATAATTTAAATCGATTATATTAACTTTTGTTGCTCTTATGACAAACTTTTTTTATTTACATAGTAAAGGGCTATTAACAATATTTATATTCTTAACAGTATTTATGTTATAAAAAAAAAAAAAAGTTGTATGAAAAAAAAGCAAGAATTTTTAAGGAAAATCGGAATACATGTCATATTATTTTCTATAGTCCATATTTGCAATAAATAGTTAAATACTTATTCCTCCTCCACGTGATAAGTGCTTTTGAAGAGTCCATCAGAACTTGTTTCTTTAACATATAAAATATCCATTCTTCGGTGCTAAGTGATAAATTCATTTTATACACTTATTCAGGCTTCTATTTTTATTTAATTACATTTAAATTGAGTTGTTCACTATTTGGAGTTTGATTCCGAGCAATTGAATATTAACTGAATTGCAATTGATTTATTGAAAATTAGGTAAATTCATAAGTTTGGAGATTTAAATTCGACATTTGAAAAGTTTTCGGACTAAATTATAAACTCTGTAAACTTGTATTGGAAAAAATAGTAATGATTAGGGGATGAAAACGACTCAATTTTGATGATTATGAAGGACTAAAAGTGCATGAGAAAAGTGCTCCAATTAAAAAAATATAATTACTTTCTTTTTCTTCTCAAAATCATTTTAGAAACTAATTTGAACAAGAATTTTGACCTAATTCTTATTCTATAAATACATTATAGCATATTATACAAGCCAAATAGGCCTCTTGGGACACAAAAGTCATAACAATTTTATGAAAAGAGAACCCCATGAGGAGAGAAAAATAAAGAAAAACAATCAATAAGCTCAGGTTTCAAAAATTTTTACAACAAGAAGGCGAATTCTTGGTATAAAATCTTAAGTTTTCCTCCTTTTCCTTAAAACACAGTGATGTAGTTTAATTCTTTTTCGTTTTATTCTCCTGCTGAGATGTGTAATTGATTAATTAATTAGGATGAAGGATAGTAGCCTAGTTTTGAACCTTAATTTTAATTATAACCTCCAATTGATGTTTTCAGTTATTTTTGTTTTCATTCTCAGTACGTTCGATTAGTTGGCCACAAATTCATTGATTAGTGAACAATAATTATGTCAAGAGGCAAATTATTTATTTAAATAGCTTAGTAAAAACTGCAATTTAGATAAAAGGTTATAGATACACTTTATGGTTGTCGCGTCTGTTAAATGAATCGTTGGTGATTCAATTTTCTTGATTACGGCTTATTCGTCACATAGAGATATGGTTGGTTGACTTAATTGGGTAGGATTGGTTTGAACTTGAGAGAAGTAAAACAATTATTTTAGAAGAATTCATCGAGGTACAAGTAATCAATTGTTATAAAATTGGTGATTGAAATTAAGGGGATAGCTATGAACTCGAGAATCTTGACACTTAAGCCATCATATAAAAACCATATCTTAATTGTTTATGCATATTTATACTATTCATGATGACAATTAAAATTATTTCAATTTTCCTCGATCGAAATGAAGTTAGAAATATTTGAATCAACTGTTAGATACTAGTACTCATGCATATGATAATACAAACTTCTAGATCCACTTTATTAATTGTTACGATTTGCACACTTACGGAATATAAAATCAATAGAATTATGGTAGGGGATGAAAAAGCATTTTCATTTTATCATGCTTATGTTGAGCAAAACATTTAATGCATGTCTTTATTTCATCAAAATCAAATATAAATTAAAGTAATATTATGTAGCTCAAAAAAGGTATTAATTACTATCAATGTCACTTAATTGACATCTAGAATGATGATACATCACAAAAATCATATCTTCTTCGAGTATCATGTAGCTTCATATAAATGATCATAAAATATAGGAGATGTCAATGAATTCCCTTTGCTATGTGAAATGTAAAAATAAATAAATAAAAATATCTACTTTTCATAATTTAGTTTAAAATGTCCAAATTGGCATGCAAAATATAATTTTTCTCCACTAAAAAAATGTTCATATTGATCTCTACTGTCACTACCATTACCACTATTACCTTGCACCCAAATAACTTTGCAACATCACCACGTCATCGCTGGAATTTACTTGTATGGTTTTTGTTTTTTTTTGTTTTTGCAATTTGGGAGGTGTAGATGGTTGTGATTGTGGTGGTTTTGTGATGGTTCATGTTTGTGTTTGTGTTCGTGGTGATTGGTTTTTGTGGTGGTATGTGACGACATTGTCGACAGTGGTGTTATGGTGCAAATTCATCGGTTTCTATGGTGATTTAGCTTTTGGAAGAGATGGTAAAAGGTAGCAGTGACATTGATGGTGGCAGGTGAATAGATAAGTTATAATACTAAAAAATTTATATTACAATGATCTACGTAATTTTCATGTGTTAGTAAGAGTGATGTTGGTGTTGATGTGTTGGCTTTTAAGTTATAATAAATTAAAAAAATTACTTGCAATATAATAATAATAATAATAATAATAATAATAATAATAATAATAATACATATTGTAACAACTTGTTATATGAAACTTCTTGGATTGATGGGGTGGCTGTTGGTGGTGATGGTGGGATAGTAGTGTAACAATTTTAAGTTGCTGTTTTGAAGAAATTAGATACCTTGTAACAATATTAACAATAGTCCTTATTTGATGTAAATTAAAATTTTATTAAAATTTCAAGTTAAAGTCAACAAATAATTTCAACCATCAATTTTATGGAATCGCAAATTTTCAACCACTTTAATGACAATTTACTAAAAACTTAAATTTTATCAACACCAAACTGAGGCATAGTGTAAGCTAAACTTATTGTAACTTATAATATATAGGGTCTCATTCGCTGTGAGTAATTTATATACAAGTCAAAAAGTTACATACAGGGTAATAAAAATAAAAGATTTGAAGCCTTAATAATTTATGAAATAATTTTCATTCATATAATTTTTGAAATTGAACCTGAAATTCATGATTGTGCAATTAACCATGTTTGATTGCGCTCTCGTTGTGCACTTTATAACTTTCTACTAATTGCTCTCTCCCTCTCGACTAATTCTTGTACCAGAAGGACGATGATACTCACCTCTTTGCCTTTTCCAAGTATTAGGAAATTGCTCATGATATCCTTCAAAATATCCACCTCGATGATTTCTCAGGTCGTCCCAAGAGAAAGAAGCATTGTTCATGACTTCATGTGACTCTTCCTTTCCAACTTTTAAATTCGTCAAGAAGGTTAAGGTATGAAATTTGGTCATAACACTTACATAAATTTACTTGAAAAGTAAACGATTTAGTTAGCAAACATTAGAGTTTTGAAACTCTTTTAAAAGGTGCCATGAATTTGCTAAGAAAATAAATGCATCATATATTTTAACAAACATAAGTTATGTAATGTAAAAGTTAAAAGGTGTAGTGTACATAATACGAGAGTGACTCCTACAAAACTATAAAATTCGAACGAAGGTATTGTTGGGCTGTTTTTGCATAATCTTGAGTGGAACTTGTTCCTTCATTTTGAAGCTTAAAATGGATTCGTGTTTTCTTCCGTAAGAGTATCAAAATCATATAATTACTTGTCAAAAATGATTCTTTAATGAAATGAGTGCAAATCACGAACCAAATTAACAACTCAAGCCATTAATCTTATGTGCAAGTGTTAGGGTTGGGCAAATCTCCCGAACCAAACCGAACCCGACGGTTCTTGTCAAATTAAATACCCGAACGGATATCTGAATTGAGAACCGACGGGTATGGACCAAGAACCGAATATTTCTAATTTTTTATATATTGAGTAAATCAAATTATTTTAATTTTAATCTTTTCTAAACAAATTAACAATTTCTAAATCCAATTTTTTTGTCCAATAATTTGTTTCATTTCTAATTTTTTAATTTTTGGCCCAATTACCCATTTTATTGTTTCATTTCTTAGCCCAACAAGATCCAATCCACTAAATAATTCCAAACACCTACACTAAAGTGCATAACGTTGTCTCGACTCTCGCACTTACTCTTGCAGCCTCGCTGACATTTCAAAACATATACAATCGTCGGTTGATGCTGTGACCTCCGATCAAAGTTGCGACCTCCGCCGACCAAAGCTTTGACCGTAGCGATCATTTGAACAAGATAGTCTATTAGTCTATGGCATTCCGAAATCATTGAATGTATCATTAGTTGTATTTATATAATGTTGTTATAAATGTTAAAAAATTTAATTATAGTACTGAACCGAACGGAATCGAACCCGAACGGTTCTATAATTATATTTGGACCCAACGGTTCCATTTACTAGATACCCAAAAATTTTGGTTCGGTTCGGTTCTCTTTCCCTAGCAAGTGTGACATGCACACACGAATGTCACACTGAAATTGACTTTTTAGAAAGGTTCACGTTTTGTCTTTGTTTTTTATATTTTGTTCTTTCAACTATCTTTCCAACTCCTAAAACTTCTTGTAACTCTTGTGTTTATTGCATTTGTAAATAGAAAAATTAAATAGCCGAATTATAAATGTGTAAATGGTTGTAGTACGTGTAAACATCGATCTGTGAAGTCGCTCATTAGAACTTATTATACAATCGATTTTTCCTCATTCCAAACACATGAAAAAAAATTTGCATATTCTTTCGGTCTCTTTTTGCTTAGAATTTTCTACTTTCTGTCACGAATTTTGGTGATAATTTTGACCAAATTCAGTTCGTCGGTGTAAAAATTTAAATGCTCAATTTTTACTAATTTCTCCATTATATCCGGTTAGACATGCGTTTAAACAAAACCTTAAGCACTTACAGTGATATGAAGAATCTTTTTTTAGGACACCGTGTAATACATTGACTTGATTTGCAAATATGTTCGCTCTTTATTGATTAAATTTTTTTTTTCCAATTCTTGAATTTTATTTTGTTCTTCCTGTAATAAATAAAATAGATTATTATATTTTGAT